ATGTCTTTAAAGTATAGGGCCGCATGCTCGCACATTGTATTCGAGGACAAGGCCGGCCGGGCTTCGGGGATGAATGGGTGGTTCAATACTTTCATAAAGTGTGTTGCTCGTTTCGGCAGTAGCATTTGGAAACCTTCCTTTGTCATTTGGTCGTAAACCGAGATGCCCTTTACTGCTAACCTCTCGGCCCATTCCTCTGCCCCGTCTTGTTGTAGTTCATCCCATCTTGCTAACAGCATATTTCTTTTTGGGGCCCACACCTTTGCAGAGATTGGGTGTGCTAACATTCGCTCCTCTACCCAGTGAAGGTCCCTAACGATCCCCTCCTCCTCTTTGTTACGATTGGCAAACATGATTCGTGAAAATACACTCAGCAGATTAGCGGCGATAGCTGTACCGACATCCCACCAGTCGCCTGCTGTTTTGAAGTGCGTTTGTGCGCTCGGCCATTTGCTGAAAAATTCCTCTACCCAGGCCACTAGGTCTAGGTCCTTGAGGTTTTGAACATTCAATCGGAAGAACCCACTTCCTCTGTCAACCACATCCCACATTTGGAAGGAAAGTTTAACCGGGTAGTGATCCGACATTGGGTGTCTAATCACCACGATATTAAGCACAACGTCCCACCAAAGAGGGTTCATCAAAGCGAAATCTAGTCTTCTAAGACAACCTGTGTTACCCCCTTCCAAGGCGGATGAGCCCCAGGTGAAACCTTGGTCCGTGGGGTGCATCAATCTGAAGGCGTCACACATGTCCATATCAGTCATATATTCCAACAAAGCACATGTGTCCGGTGTGCCTGCTGAAGTACCCGTAAGATCATCCAGAGTGTTGTTTCAGTCGCCCATGATTAGAAGATTGTCGACATCAGGAGTGTAAGAGATCAGGTCCTGAAACAACCTTACCTGTTCTGCTCTGTCAACCGGGGCATAGACGGTCATAATAGCCAAGTCTAACCCATAAGTCGAAAGTTTAACCCAGGCTCATCGGCCCCACAGATCTGCAGCCTTATCTAGGATCTGAATAGGGAGATCCCTGTGCAGTAGGATCCCTACCCCTCCTCTAGTCCCTACTACTGGGGCCCATATCTGAGGGCCATCCCACCAGGTGCCTAATTCCCTTAGCTTTTTTTCGGTACCAGAATTTTGTAGCTCCGCTTTGGCACTTCCTGGTACAGACGCAGCAAATTCATGTCAGATATCAGTCTCAACGGGAATCGTTCACCAAAGATTTGTTTGGCTCCAACCATAATTTGCTGAGCGGAGTCAGTCTCCGTGAGGAAATGGACTCTGGAAATCTCAGATTGCCATGCGATCACATACACCACACCGTTTACGACTGTGTATACCAATGGCATGAGCGATTTTTCTATTGATGTAGTCCGGGATCTTGTGACTGTTATTGCTCTTCTACTTCTTGAGGTATCAACTCCTGATTGGGGCAGGACAGTCTTGGATTGAGAACCTTCATACTTGAGTGACTCAACTTTGCTGGAGCCTAATGTTGCAGACCTTTCTCTACTAGGGACTCCCCCTTTCGGAGCTGCTTTCAGCAGTAATGGTTGAGTCTGAGAAGATACTGCTCTAATTGTCTTTGCAACTTTCAAGGGGGATTGCCCTCGATTGCTACGGCCTTTAGCATCTACTGTTGAGGCAGCGACCTCCCCAACGGGGAGTGGGCCCAGATGTGCATTGTTGATAACTGTCGAATCGTCCATTATGAGGGTTCTTCCCACCGTAGGGATGGGACGAATGGGCTTCATCATTGCAGGGATCTCCGTGCCCGGGGGGGGGGGGGCTCATACTCACTTTGTGAGTGTATTTGATATACTCTTGCTTGCCTCAGATTGTGCATGGGTGGGATAACTCCCCAGGCATTCGGGGTTGGATATCCATTATCCCTCCTGTCCGAAGAGCGTATGGGTCTTGTGAGTAATAGAGATTCGGTGAGAATACTGGGCTTGTCCTTTCAATGAAAGGCTCGTCCCCTCCCATTACTCCAGTATACTGGTGATTGAGGTAGACGGGGGGTGTCAAGATACGTGTTCGCATAAGCGAGGACTGGGATCCTTGGTGTGAAAAAGGTCCTTTGTACTTTGCTTTACCTCGACGCCTGTTGAGACAGGGGTTGTGTTCCAAATTTGAGTGGGAGCTCGAGGCCAATGAGGATCTATCGTCTTCATCGTCCTCTGTGTGCTCTGTTTTCTCTTTTCTAAAATTGCTTCGGCGGCTGTTGCGGTTATTCTTCGAGCGTGTGCATTCCTCGTTCGTGTGAAAATACCACTTGCACCCGGTGCAGTATGGAGTGGAGGCCGATGTCAGCCTCACTTCTACCATATCCCCCTGCCTAGTCCGAATCCGAACTCTGTCTTTGAATTTTGGGCGGTTTTCTAGCTTAATTTCACATATGATGTTCATCAACATGGGGTTGAAGTTGAATCGAGCTGGTTCGTCAATTTTAATTACTGGTCTGATCGCTTTGATATTGAGGATCTGAGGTATAAATAAGCATCCAATGGTACTTGAAAGACTATCACCCTGAATGTACTTTCAAGTTCCGTTTCCAATTCTATATGGATTAATATCATACATAATGAAATTAGCAACGAAGAGTATATATAAAAAATTACCATCAGATAATAATAAAATAGATTCATCCTAGACTTTCGCCCCCACAAGTATATTACATTTCATATTTTTACCTTTTGTAGTTGAAGTTGTTTGGATGGGTGTTTATCCTGAGGTATTCCTAGAGGGTATGCATACCTCTGTAAGTAATTTAGTACAACGTGGGAAATTTGGCCCCTAAAGGGCCTTTGTATTTGACCGGCCACCGACCAAAAAAGAGAAGATAGTAATGTTTGACAATGATGTTTTAGCTATCTTTCCATAAATCTTTCTTATAAATGTCACTATCTTATTACTTACCTATGGAGTGATTTTGAGCACTTAAAAAAAAAAATGATTATCCACCATTAGTGCGTAATGTGGGATGATTGGGTTTACAGGGTGTTTTGATGACAATTTTATTGCTGATCAATAATCCTTTAACCACTGCTAATCTGTTTTATAATAATCTAATCATAGATAATTTGAATTATTTTTGTAAAATTTTTCTATTGCTTGGTACTGTTAGCACTAGTCTGGACAAGGAAGAAAGAAAAATCAGAATGCGTGAATTCGTTCTGCAATTAAGTCCAAAAACTTTTGATCTTGAATTCGTGGTAACAAGACGCTGCTTCTTGAATTCATTCCATTCTGCCTTTGGCATCCACGCCTTGGTTTCGAAAACGTACCTCCTCCCTTTCAAGTTGACTTCCCCGAAACCCTCATTTACCATCCATTCTGCTACCAAATTGTCACGTGCGACATATGGTCCTTCAAACTTAACTCTACCTCTCTCAACCGGAGGGTCGAACGTCCCTTCTTTCCTCCAGTCATTTTCGTAAGAGCGGACTATGTCTTCTTTCACCTTCCTAGGTAAGTTTATCGCTTCATCTCGAAAAATAATAACTACGGTGCGCTCCTTCAACCATTGTATCTTGATTTCGTCAAAACGATCGTCCACTGTAATTACCGCTTCGTTCCCTTTAGTAGAATTATCCTCGAATGGGATGTCCTCCGGGCTATGCCCATCATCGTAACAGAGCGAGCACAATATGCGAACTCTCTCCTCAAATAGTCTACTGTTCGTTCTGGGAGTTACCCTTTTCCTTTTCTGCCATATCCAACTCTTCCCCATGCGGTGACACCATCCTTCGTTGGGTTGCTTTTCCCAATTTTCGGAAAATCCTTGTCCCCATGGTGAGGGCGAAGGGACTCCCTGCTTCGAAAACTCGGGATGTTGGCGTCCGGGTAAACCAAATCACCTCTTCAATTTTTACGATTACCAACAGTTTTCCTACTAGCGGGAATTGCGGCCTTTGCCGAGTGCTGTTGTAGCCTGGGATGACTCTATACTACTCAGACGCGAGAGTGATTCCTTTCACCGTTCGTCTAACCTTCGGGTATTACCGATTTCCCATCGTAGTAATGATACATTTACCACGCTGTTTCTATCCTTCTAACCAAGATGCGAGGAATCTACTGCTTCCGTTACCATATGCTCGGACCAGATTTTAAATGGACTCATGCTTCCCCTACCCAATCTTGTTGTTTACTAATGTAATTTACTTGAAGTACTACACCGGTTTCCTTGCTACGAACACGCAAGGGTGAGAAGAGATTTACCCACAGTGCCTTCAAGTAGCGAATCTGCTTCTCCTTGGTTGCGGTGGCCAACGTGTGGATGAGTTGATCCTGCGATTCTTCCTTTGGGTAACTTCCACTCTACCTTACATTCCTTGCCTTCAGCTATGGCATAGCAGTAGGGGATGGAGCATTCTTCGTTGTGGTGAAAGCAGGCAGGCTTGGCTATGCCCCGCCGCCATGGCCGCGGCCATGGGAGCCTCTTTCACCGCGGTAACTTTCGCTGTGGTAGCGAAGGAACTGCTTGACGGCCACTAGGAACCGAGAGTCGGACCTACCGGCAGCGCAAGGCCCCGAGCGCACTACCGGCACCATGGGCGGCACAACTCTCCCTCCTCTCTTCTTCTCTCCCTAAGGCTGCCCGACAGATGCCTTTTGGGACAGTGCAGCTGGAGTCTAGGTAAAAATAAAATATGCCCAAGGGTCAGGCCAAAGTGGGGCAATATCTGCCTCCAGAATTAGTTTGAGTGCGAACCTGGACTACGAGGTGGACCGGGTTACGATCTGGACCAGGTTACAATTTGGTCCAGGTCCATACGAAGTCAGCAACACTTGCAGCAAGCGCCGCCTGGCCATCGATTCGATTGTTGTAATCGCTTCGGATCCTCACTTGCGGATTGTATAGTCGTCGTAGCATGGCCGTTTGTTTTCTGCGTAAACGACGAGGGTTCAATCCCTGAAGACTCCCTCCCAAGGTAATGACGGCCTGATCCAAACGTTTCCACGTGAGCTAACGGCAGCTAACGGGCGGCGGCGATTCAAACGAGTCACGTCTGCCACTGTAGCAGATTCGCCCACGTGGTACTGCGATACTCGTGCGCTTGACGCGAGAGAGAGAGAGAGAGAGAGAGAGAGAGAGAGAGAGAGAGAGAGAGAGATGGCCGCGCTCGCGAGAGCGATGGCGGCGACGGGGGTGGCGGGAGGGGCTGTCTCGATGGAGGGGAGGGAGGAAAGGGGAAGAAGGGGAGTTAGACGGCCATCGCTGAAACTGGAGGTGGAGAAGACGACGTGGACAGGGCGGCGTCTTGTTCTTCCGTTGCCATGGTCATGGCGTTCTTGGCATTTTCGAGATTACCAGTGTCAGTTGTGCAAGCTCAATTTGGGAGAAGGGAGGGAGGGGGGGAAGAGATTAGGAGAAGGAGGTGGTCGGGGGGCAGTTCAAGGCGAGCAGATCCACGTGTCATCCTGTCGCACAAGGGCAAATTCTTTAGGACTACAGGTAGGAAGAGCTGGGAGAAGAAGCGGCGGCGTTTCACCTGATGATATCAGCTTATCTGCTTTCAGATCACGTGGATTAGAGTGGATTAAATTGGCGGCAAATGGAATAAGGAGGGATAGCAAGAGGGGGGAGGGGGAGGGGGAGGGGGAGGAAAGGAGGGGTTGGCGGGTTCAGAGTCAGTCGGTAGCCGCGAGAAGCAAGGGAGGAAGAAGTGTATCCCGAGAGGAGAGGGAGGAGGAGGACAGAGATGACCATGGCTATGGCGACAAGCAGAGGGAGGGGATGGAGAGGGAGGAGATGGAGACGGAGGAAGAAACGCCATCCATGGCAAGGAGAACAAGTAGAAGACGGAGACAGTCCTCCGTTGGTGCTATGGCTATGGTGGTTATGGAGGACTCGCAGTCGGTAGGCAAAGCGAGCGAAGAAGGAGAAGAAGGAGAAGAAGGAGAAGAAGGAGAAGAAGGAGATGGAGATGGAGATGGAGATGGAGATGGCGGCGGCGGGGAAGGTAAGCAGACGGCGGCGGCCACGTGGATGAAAGAGACGGAACTTAGAGAATTTTTCTTGGAATCGATCATCGTCGGGGCAAGAGAGGGGGATGTCAAGGCCTCTCAACAATCATTTCGAGAATTGGAGCTCGCAGGATTAACGCCAGGCCCCAGTGCCCATCATGGTGTCATAGTTGCGTATTGCATTGCAGAAGATGTGGACGGAGCGGTACGTCTCTCTCGGTCCCTCAGTGTCTGTCTCTCTCTCTCTCTCTCTCTCTCTCTCTCTCTCTCTCTCTCTCTTTGTGTTGTGGCAGCTCGCTCTCTCTCTCTGTGGGTCTCTGATCTGGCATCGCTCTCTCTCTCTCTGTGTCTCTGCTCTGGCATCTCTCTCTCTCTCTCTCTCGGTGTCTCTGTTGTGGCATCTCTCTCTCTTTCTGTCTCGGTTGTGGCATCTCTCTCTCTCTCTCTTTCTCTCTCTTTGTGTTGTGGCATCTCGCTCTCTCTCTCTCTCTGTGTCTCTGATCTGGCATCTCTCTCTCTCTCTCTCTCTGTGTCTCTTCTCTGGCATCTCTCTCTCTCTCTCTGTCTCGGTTGTCGCATCTCTCTCTCTCTCTGTCTCCGTTGTGGCATCTCTCTCTCTCTCTCTCTCTCTCTCTCTCTTTGTGTTGTGGCATCTCTCTCTCTCTCTCTGTGTCTCTGATCTGGCATCGCTCTCTCTCTCTCTCTCTCTATCTGTCTGTGTTGTGGAATCTCTCTCTCTCTCTCTCTCTCTCTCTCTCTCTCTCTCTCTTTCTCTCTCTCTCTCTCTCTTTGTCTCTCTCTTTGTCTCTCTCTTTCTCTCTTTTTGTGTGTGTTGTGGAACCTCTCTCTCCCTCTCGCTCTCTATTGTGGAATCCATTTGCTTTTTTTTTTAATACACATCTTATGCTCTTTCTCTTAGAGATCCCGTTCTGTCTGTCTGTCTGTGTGTGTGTCTGCCTGTGTCTAGGAATGAATGAACAAGACCTCTCTCTCTCTCTCTCTCCCTCCCTCCCTCTCAGTGGTTGTCTGTCTTCGTCTCTGTCTATTTTGCCGGCGCCACCGTGAGACGAATACATCATCTCTGGTTCTCTTCCCC